CCCTCCCAGGTCCCGGAGCCAGCGGTAGCCTGAGGTGCTGATGTCTCGCCAGCCACAGGAGTCCTGCTCGAAGCTGCAGGCGAAGGGGGCGCTCTGGGCGGGTGAGGCCCCGTTGTAACCTGGGACAGCAGGGGCGGGGGTCAGGGGAGTGGCCCTCAGGGGCTGGCCAGCCCTGCCCCGCCGCCCGCCGACCTGCTCACCACACTGTGTCTCGTCGGAGCAGTCACCGCAGTCGCACACGAAGTTGCACACGGTGTCCGGGGGGGCCCGGCAGTGGTTGGGGACCCAGGCCCCGCCTGGGGACCCTGCTGCCAGCAGAGACAGGCAGGGGTCTAGCAGGGTGACCCCATCCTGTATGCCTGGGACGGTCCAGGCTGTGGGTTGTCCTGCTCTGGGTTCCGGGCCAGGAGGTCAGAGGGAGGGGCTGAGTCTGTGGCTGGGGGCTCCCCGACGGTGTCCGGGGGGGCCCGGCAGTGGTTGGGGACCCAGGCCCCGCCTGGGGACCCTGCTGCCAGCAGAGACAGGCAGGGGTCTAGCAGGGTGACCCCATCCTGTATGCCTGGGACGGTCCAGGCTGTGGGTTGTCCTGCTCTGGGTTCCGGGCCAGGAGGTCAGAGGGAGGGGCTGGGTCTGTGGCTGGGGGCTCCCCGCCAAGGCTGAGCCGAGCACAGCTGGCCTGAGAGGCTGGCTGCACGGGACCAAGGGCCCCCCATGGGGAGCACCCCCTGGGGAGGGAAGTGGAAGCCGAGAGGGAGGGTACCCCCAAGCGGGGTGTCAGTGGTGACCCAGAGCCCCTCCGGTTCCAGGCGTCCAGGAGCAGGCGTTTGCCGCCAGGGCCTCTCACCTGGGGCCTGGGCGGGGACCGGGCCTGGGAGAGCACAAGTCTCGCCCCCTGCCCAGCGGGGCAACCCCAGGACCCAGGGCTCCCTCTGGGTCCCACCCAGCTCTGCTACGGAGCCGAGCCCGACGACTCACCCAGGAGCAGGACCAGGGCAGGCAGGAGGCGGCTGGGCAGAGGCATGGCCAGGCCGAGGGAAGCGGACCGGGGCCCTGTGCTCAGTTATCCCCTCGGCCCCGCTGCTGACTCCGCTCTAACTGGAGGGGCCCCTGGGCCAGCCCCGCCCTGGCCGATGAGGGCAAACTTCCCGTCGTAAAAGGGCCCAGGAGAGGGGCCCCCGGCCCACGTCAGCTCCCACTGGTCCAGCAACTCCGGACCGAAGGTCTGGCCCTGCCCGTCACACCAGCGGCCGCTCAGCCCTGCCTGGTGGAGGCCCCACTGGAGGTGGCTCCGGGCAGCACAGGCTGCGACCACTTCTCCCGGCCTGTCCCCACCCTGCAGTGAGGTCAGCCGGCCCGGGCACCAGCAGGCACCCAGCACCCGTAAACCCTGGGAGAGGGGCCAGCAGCCAGGGACCTTGACCATCTCCATCCCCATCGCTCAGCCTATGGTGTCTGTTCCCTTACTCATTCCTAAATCATTACTTATTTTAACGTATTTTTATTGATTTCAGAGAGGAAGGGAGAGGGAGACAGAGAACCATCAATGATGAGAGGGAATCATGGGTCGGCTGCCTCCTGCACGCTCCACTGGGGATGGAGCCTGCGACCTGGCACGTGCCCGGACCGGGAATCGAACCGTGAC